CCAAAGCCACAGCTTCTTGGTGTTCCAACAGCATAGCATTTAGACATTGCATGCATCAAGAATGACAAAAAGCTGCAGTAGCGGTGGCAGAAAAGGAGGCATTTTTCTGGTGCAAAAAGGAGCTGCATTTTGTCAATTACTTTTGCACTGGAAAAACACTAGAGTGGGGCCACAGCGTGCAGTTGCTGTGGCGTCCACCTGGCTTTCCCAGTGGCAGCATAATGCCACCCTTTAGGGGCTTTCTATTTCACCCCATAGTTAGTAAATATTCCTACAGGGTTGATTATGCAGTTCCTGTTGTTCAAGGATCACTAATATGTGTAATGAAGGAGAAAAATAAAAACCTTAAACAGAGGGGTTGAAACAGCACTTGGACAGGCAACCATTGAAGCAAAGAATGTCACCAAGCAGCCTTAGAAAACAAGCAAATACTCTCACAATTTAGGCATGTTTCAGCAAAGCCCAGATACTTATCTTGAAAAACATAGCACTAAGTACATCTTATACTGTGTTGTAAGTTTTCATCTGAGAACTTATTTCTCAGAAATTGACAATGATAATGAAACACAATGCTTATTTATAACACCCTTTTGCCAAAGGGTGGAATGCCAGACATATATAAACAAGGAGAAAACAATTTTTAAAAATCCACTATCATATACTAAAAGTAAAATTCTCACCACCCCTCTAGTTGTTACTCATCTCAATTGCCTTAAACACACTCAGCAGCTTAATCCAGCAAATTCAAGATACAGTTCTTTAGCCCTTCATGAAAATTAATAAGATACAAAGAAGGGCTGTTCCACAAATGAACAGCTAGGTTCTGAAAGGCTTGCAGTCTTGATAAAGCATACACAGTGGTGGACCTCCCAATAATCCTTTTCCTGTAGTTCTCAGGTTTCTAGTTAGTACATATTATGCTAGCTGAGCTGCCAAATACCAAGGGAGGTTAGACCACAAGGCCTTAATTATCTAGACCAAAAGCTTGCAATGAGCCCTGGCTTGAACTGGTAGCCAGTGGAATGATCTGCATGGAATTGAGACATGTGAATATTTAGAGGGATTTAAAACAACCTGGACAGCACTAATCTGGATTAAAACTGGGAGGTGGGGAGAGTAGGAAGACAAACTCCTCCTCTCTCTTACAATATAAAATAATAATGAATTAGTTCATGCTACCACAGTGTAAGATTTCCCATTTTCTCATCCACATTGATTCCCAAGAACTACCACATCTTTCATTAGCATAACAATGAAAAAACTAAAGAAGCCTTGTGGGGAAAAAGAATCCTGTTCTTTTTGGCACTCTCCTTTGACAAAAATTAAAAATGGCTTCACTGATCAAATCATTTAAACCTTTGGTATGTAAGAAGATACAGAGCCCCAAATTGGGAAGATTGATCCTTTAGGGAAAGAGGTTGTATAGTATGATACATATGGCAATGTGTATTTCTACAATTCTATAGTAGAACTCAAAATGTTTTTCAGCCTTTCTTTGTATTCAAAACTGTTGCCTTACTAGCCATGCCTATGGTGTGACATTTGATGTGTTCTCATTGTAGCTGATATAATTTAAGCAACATTATCTTATAATAAAGCACATAAAACCATGGTGTTAAAATTTAACAAGATCTGACATAAGTCTAATACAATGAAGTAGCAAAGATGACAGCTAAGTAAGTCTTCAAACAAAACCTGACAATCAGCATTGCCTATTTCTCCACCCCTTCTAGTTCAGCAAACAATAGAAAACTGAAATCAGAAAAGCTTCAGATCACTTATGAGTGGTATATAAAAATGTTGTTTTTTTTAATGTGTGTCTATACTTGAGATATTTTGAAATCAAATGCCTAAACTCACAATATATTATATTGTCCTTCCATCCCCCAAATGTAAGTATTAACAAAGCCATATTCAATCTACTTGGCATGTTTCAGAGGGACACAATATAGGACTACAATATAGAACAGTTTGAGGCCAAAGACAGATGTCAGTTGTGCCTAAAGAATTTTTAAAGATGTTGGGCTAAGTAAGCTTATTTCTGTTTATCTAGAGGCTTCATTTCCAATGTTATCCAGCACCATTCACTGCCTAACAGGGACCAGAGGAAGAGGAAAAGAGAAATAGGATTTATGTCAGGGAGGGTCCACTATGACCATCCAAATGCTATTAAACTGCCATTCTTTGCACGACTAGCCAGCATAGTCAGTGATGAAGAATCATGCAACTGAGAGTCAAGCAGCATCTGGAAAATCAAAGTCATACAATGTTGGACTTATTTTTCTCATTCTCAAATAAAGAATGAGACAAATAGATGGAGAGGGGAAGAGGCCAATCATGTTTCTCAGCCATGTGCCATTTACTATAGGATAAAGGGAAATGTTTGGCTTGTTAGACAAATCCAGCTCACAGAGTATCGGTATCTAAATCTGGCCCAAAGAAAGGTCATGTCCTCCAGCCATTTTCCAAAGCCCCCCTTCCTCATGGATAACAGGTATTTTTGTATAAAGAGAGATGTCCCTGATATCTGTAACACAAGCCGAAATGGTGGTCCTTGCTAGTCTTAGGAAACAATTGCATGTCATCTTGTTTTTCAACTGAGTTTACCAAAAGAAATTACAGAAACTGAACATGAAAGAAAGCAAAACTGATAAATCTGCTAATTCCTAAGGATGAGTGTGAATTTCATTTCAGTTTGTTTTTGATTAGAAGTTACCAAAATCTGCAAAAACAAAATGAGAGAGGATGATGAATTGATAGATTTGCCCATCCACATTCTTCCCATTTGCTTGAACAAGGAATGGGGATGAGTGAAGCTTGCTCTTTAGCCCAGCTGCTGGATGGAAGGTACATTTTCCGAGGGGTTATTATCATTTAAAAATGTAAAGGGGGATGAAATCACCAATGACAAGGGAAAAAGAAGAGATGTAGTCTCAAAACTGCATTACAATAAAAGTTTAATGGCCCAAAGCATTGGAAATAACTCTCCAAGGGATGTTTAAATGACAGGATTGCAACTTTCACTATACTCTGGAAACAAAATGGCTGTTTTGCACCTATGAAACTATAACTTTCCTCCACTCTTGTTCCTGAGATAAATGTAGGAAAGAACAATATTGTAAGACTATAGCTGTAATTCTTTTCTACTGATGCAGACATGAAAATCTGAGTTCTAAATAAGTAGGAATTTCAAAATTACCATTATTAGTTTTTGTAGTGGAGAGGAGGAATTCCTAATGCTGTATATCAACTTTATTTTTCCTTTTGTTCTGCAGCACTGACAATACATTAGTGATGGTCACCAATCCATATAAATTGATAGTTTTGCAGAACATAAGGAGCTGTAAGGCTGTTCAACAACACATATGTTTTGAAATATGTATGGGGGGGAGAGAAACAGTGTCTTTTGGATGTTGTTTTTTTGGAGTTCATACCACACACTCATATTAATTTATGGCCTGTGCATATTTAATTTATATTTGTGTGCATGTGTGTATGGTGTTTCTGATAGGATGACATATTTATGGCACTTAAAAATAAAATAAAAATAAAGCATGTGACAAGTGGTATCTTTCACCAGAAGCATTCAAATTTTATAATATTTTATATAATGTCTATTTTTTCTTCCATAAAGCTTTAGTGTTATTTTTATAGGACATAATATATACTCAATGGACCACGGCAGGCAGAATACCCATAATAGTCCATCCTGGAAATGCCTATTTAAATAATTTCTAAAAGTGCATATTGCACAATAATTGAAAGTCTATCAACCCTAATTTTGCCACTCTCTTGCTGATTCACAAAGGGAAGATAATGTATGGAGAGGGTCACTAGCTTTAGTAGCAAGAAATGTTGACATATGTAAATTTCAGTGGGCTGACAGCATCAAATCTTTTTTGTGTATTAGTTTTCATTCACTAATCACTTTATAATTACAGATTCAAGCATTCAAAAAATATCAGAACAAAAATTAAAGGAACAAATTCCACTTTAACTTGTAATTGAAATATCCTTTAATCATCTCCCAACAGTATGCCACTAATTCAGAGATCCAGTCTGATGTGATGTGTCCTTATTGTAGATTTAAAATAACTGTTAAATTTGAGACAAACAGATCTGTCTAAATCTAGCTGGTGTCACATTACATTTATTGTTACTAAATGCAGAAATGTTATTTTAAAACTACACACACACACACACACAAAGAAACTTATAAGATGGTCAAGGTCTTTATTTTGATGAATTTCATTTTCTTTTTGCATTTAGCCACTTTGGGTCCCATATGGGAGAAAAGTCAAAAGCAAAATCATGCTCAAAATTCTGCAACATAGACTCCGACCATACATGGAAAGAGGGATCCCAGAGATCCAGGCAGGGTCCAGGAAAGAAAGAGGCAGTAGGGATCACATTGCAAACATATGATGGCTAATGGAGTGCACCAGGAAATTCCAAAAGAAAATCAGCAAATGTTTTATAGACTATAGCAAAGCCTTTGACTGCACAGACTATGAAAGGCTA